CAGTAATACAAATGCTAAAGTTCATTTGCCTTTTGTGTTACAATATTCAATAACTTTTTCTCCCTTTAGTGATGTCCAAAATGTCACTCATGAAAATTGAAGTTTGGACTGTTTCAGTGCACGTAAATACGGCATGTAAGATATAAAGTACGTACAAAGCTATGGTGGATGACAATCCTGAGTAAAGAATACCCTATACACCGACAGCGTATGACATATACTGGCAGATATGTAAAACTATGGTCTACTATGATATATATATTGAAAGATTTGCAATGCGTTGTATTGAAATACTAAAGGAGCTCTCAGGTAAGATTTCACATCTCGAATTCTAATCACTCCTTTATAAAATCAGCTACCATCTACACAGCGTCTTACACGTAGTAAATTGGAAATCAGCTTACAAGAAATAGAATGTAGAAGAGACATATGGAATGATTGACGTCAGTGGTAAGTCAAGCGGCACACTTCAAGCGAATCAATGACCTGGTATCACATACTAAATCAATTTGTCATAATATCAGATGCGAATGGAGCCGAAATAATTGCTATGGATGTTCCTAGTTCCATAAAGTCTTCCGTTAAAGAAACATAACAAGGACGAAGTAGTGCATATGTCGTGCCGTTCATGAGGGCTGGATTGAAAGATTTGACACGTACCTTCTGAGTATAAATAGAATTGAAAGAAATGCTAGCAGTTATTTATGTAGATATTGGATGAATAGGAAAAGCATTGGCTTGCTACTTCCATCAATGGAGATTAACGCCTCCGGTAGGTTGTACAACAGTGAACGCAACCTCTTTGGTTTTCGAGGATCACGGTATGCCAGGATTACTGTGTACTGGAAATGAATAGCCAACATGCATTGGTTTCGTGAGAAGGATTCAGTCGCTAAAAAATGACATACAATAGGATACATGCAGCTATCGATTATTTAAAATTTTTTGGAAGCTATGTAAACACATGATATTTGCATATCTTCAATTTACTGACTTTACGGGTAAGCATGCTGACTGTAGTCAACATATGAACCGGTTCCACATGGTGATCTGAAATTAAGTTAAAATAATAGAAATTTTGACAGATTGATCGGAAGACTAAAAGAGAGGTGGGGGGTTAACATATATTGATAGTAGCTGATGGGATCCGCATTTTGATAAATAATGGAATGTTCTAGTTTTATTGCGTGGTTACTGATAGAAATTAGAGTTAGTTGGATAAGAAAGCGAAATTGTTGCCGATCAAAATTCTGAATCGTTTGGCGTTTCTGTTACCATGTTAGTGTTCGCATGATATCTGATATTATGACTTTGAATTCTTATTGTTTCTCAGTAAAATCTGATTTCACCTAAGTTTGGACCAAGCAAACATGACTGGACGTTCATTCCCACTAATGTCTAGATGATTTGTAATTCTATCAATAATATCAGCAAATATCATTCTACCCTAACAACATTATAAGCTGAATTTTTGCCAACTACTTCGTTTGATTTTTGTGTATCTTTCAATTTGCTTGATCATACTAGGGTATACTCAAAATATTTAATTGAAATCTTCATCATAATATTCACATAGAACATCAGCTGATTTTAACTTTGCGAACGATTAGAAAGAGGTCTGTCAACAGATACAAGTCTGTTAGAAAACCAGTTTGAAGATACATTTTGCATCATTTTCTACAATATATACGGTTGTGGTTCCAAATATAATAATCAAGGATTCAAAAAAAGCGATATAACAACGATCCAAAACTAGACTACTTTTTAATAAATGATCAGCTTCCAGTTTAAGATTTCCGGATCCAAGCACCAGAACACTTCGATCTACTCACACTGTTTCCACGGTTTATTAAGTTCATTATTTCATAACTTCATGGGACAAACGCCTTCTCCCACCACCTTTATTTAGAACTTGATTATTTTTCACAGTGCAGCTAACCGACTTAACGTTTGTGAGTGTGATAGCTACTGCTTTTGAAAACCCCACTGCCTTAAGACAAACGTACTTACTTGGGTTACAAGACATGAAAACCCACAAATAACTACTAAACTGACAAGAATCGCTTCGGTGTAAAGGTTCGGCAACTTTATATTGGACATTAACTAAAACATGGAACCATACCAAAATATAAGGAGGTGAACGTAAAAAACTCGATCGATCTATATATTCTCGTTACAAGTATCTTGTAAACCGTTTCAAATATAATGACTCACCGCGAATCGGAGTTATGCGACCACTTTAGTTATCGTTAAAAGTATGCTATACTGATAGACTTCAGTGGAGTTATCATGATTAACACTGCCTCACAAGTTTTGTGAGATGTCGATGGTTTGTTGAAGGACAACTTATGTTCTGATATGAACGGAGTAGAAATTGGTAATATTTTGTCTGTAGACTTATGGTCTGCTTAGGTATTATTAACATCATAACATTAGATGTAATCTCAAAACTGTAGATTTGCCATGATGTGACCACCTAATCTATAGGGTCTTACATAGAAGTCATATGATTCTCTACACTGAATCGTCCTATGGTAATGATAGGCGATATGAAGTTCAGCACTTCTGAAGAACGCATTTGAATTGGGAAGAGGTTAATATGTTCGATACAATAAGCAAGAGGTTATAGTGACTACGCCTGCGTGCCCGAGCCAAGCTATTTCGATCAATTCTCTTTGCGTTCGTCATTGTTAACCTGCACTTAGTGTCACATGCTGAATGCGAATCTTTTCAGTTATTTTACACTCAGTTTCAAAGATCGTGTGGTTAGGAGCCGACACCACTACTGGTCAATGAAGTGCTTGGAATTGATTGAAAAAGTACATGGCGTGCAACAAAACATTTAGCATAAGATTATACCTAAACAAATTAACTCCATCTGAAACCCTTCCAAGGTCGATGGCGGTCTCAACCTCAGTGTGAGACATGTTGTTAGTAACCAAAGTTCATAAAAACCTACCTTGTTAACAATGAGATGACCATAAATAATAATTAAAACTCTTCTCTGAGAGTTTAAAGGTTTCTCTTGGAAAATTCATGACACCTCATAATGAAAGCCGAGATTCTTTGTAAATCATGGGGCCACTGTCTCTTTTGACTATCAGAGCAACAACTAATATACGTGTATTGAATGAGTATGAAACGTAGGAGGCCGAGACGACCATTTAAATTGCTACGAAAATGAAATAAACAACCTGGAGATGGTCTCCATAGTGGTTTACACTAAGTCGAACCCATTGAAAGCACACTGAGAAGAAAAGGTTAGTCTTAGGAGTTGTGCTGTTGTATTCCGGCCGTGGAAAAGAAAACGCTTTGGACATGTAGAAGGTTGAACTGATGACTTATAAAAAAGAACGAAAAACACTTAAAGAAAGGTAATATCATGGATTCATAATCACCAAAGTATCTTCCAAATCAAAGAGAGAGGGGATCACAATGAATATCATCCAGTGTTCTGAGCGACTAGCGATATCATTGAGAGGATGGCTGCAGTTAATCATGGAGATATACACAGGAAATCAATTGACCATCTTGATAGGAGACTTAAAGGCGAAAATCAGAATAGGATACACCGGGTGTGTAGATATCATAGGACATGGACAATGAGAATGATAAGCGAATCACTGAAACTTAGGAGCAGTAGAACATGGAGAACACGTTTAAGAGCTCTTGAATGAACCACCCTCCCTGAAAACACTGGATATCGAAGCAGGATATACAGAATTTCCCGTAGATGTTATTGTGAAGACAATGAAAATTAGTATGGCCACCAGACAAATGAAGAGTGGTAAGGCAGCAAAACCAAACAGTGTCCAGGCCTAGGGACTGAAGCTAGGCATAATAGTGACAGTGAAGATGCCTCACGTTCTCTTCAGAAAGATTTGATGTTTACGACAAATACCGACAGATTATAAAGAGGGATAATATTCATGTATCAGTCAAATCGTGACACGGCTAGTCACAGTTGAATAATCGGTCAAGTGCAACTCATTGCTATGTATCAACTTCTTGGAATAAGAGAAAACCTTTAATAGAATGAATAAGAGAACTTTACAGAGCTAAACAACTTACTTATCCTGACTTTGGCTATGCCAAGACTCTGTGTTCAACGGTGCGGATTAATTTAAAATGGTGCCCGTAGGAAATTACTTCCTTATAATGCTTCGAACAGAAAATTCGATATACCTACTGAAAGGACTTCGAATAAGTACTATAATTCGTATGGGATTTCGAAGTTGCCACCCCATCATTCGGGGTATTAAGATGAAGATCAGTATGGAAGGAAAGAACTTAAAACCAAACACATGATAGAATTAGGGTTAGCCAAGTTACGTATAATCCAGTTTACAAATGAAATTGAACCAGAAAAGTTACGTTGACAGGGAAGTGAGGCTCTTGGCCAATCAGTAACTGACAGTGATAATGCGGTACCATAAAATCTGTACTTACCAAAGAGTGAAGACTTAGAGTAAGAGTTAAGAATGTAAAGTGTTATTTAGTGTCCCTAAACTCACTTGGTTACACGATGAACGACATCAAATACATTAACACTGTCTTCCATAAGAGGAGGTATGCTATGCCATTTAGCCTCGCACCATCTAAAATTCTTTTTGCACAATGGATATTTGGGTAAGGATATAACATTTGGACAACCTTTGAACGAAGCTCAAGCGACTTAGAGAAAACTCACCTAATTACTACAATCAAAAGAAGCCATAAAGTAGTTTGAGTTGGGAATAGGATATAGAATCGAAATTTAAGGTGAGGGATTGACGTAAAAGATTTCATCACGCACTGACATCAGCTATAGTGACAAAATACTATTTAACTTTGTAAGTGAATGCATTTCGCACCGGAATTCACGATTTGGTTAGTTTCTAAATTGTAGTTTCACGGAGGTTTTCACTAATTTCGAGAATTTAAAGGACCAGATACTTGATTAGTAGTGAAATTCACTTTTTCTATTAATACACTTTGAACTTTGCTTCAAGTGTATAAGGCGTTATCTTAATTCTGACTGGCCAACTCAAGGCCATTAGCACGTTGTAATTATTCACTGTTAGCCTCGAAAGATATATATATATATATATATATATATATATATATATTCCCTTTACTGTATTTTATACATAGTCCACTTCTATATATAAAAATGATTGCCATATCCTTTTCTATCTTATGACTTGTTTGTTGTTAAATTTACAAGTCTCCAACGTATTTCGTATTTATATCTTATTTTTACGTTGTATCGACGTAATCAGTCGATAGAGGACATATGACAAGGCCATTATCCATAAAACTTTTATAATCGATTATCTTAAACCCAGTCAAAAGACGGAAATAAAGAGGTTCAAAGATATATTTTATGGCCCCAAGCTGCCAGCTTTGGGGAAAATTTGGTCCATTTTGGGGGAGCCGCTCTAGTAAATTTTGGGGAAATGAGACGAAAAACCCAAAATTTCCCCAGACAAGCGCTAGTCAGTGTCGTAAAGTATGTTATCTAGTTGTTGCAATGGATGCATACCATGGTGAACCCAATGGTGATCTTGTGCAGATACATGATTGAGCTCTTTTAGCTAGGGTGTTTCCATTAAAACTAATGAGATGAATGTTCGCGTCAAATACGTGCAGAACTATTTGTCGTGGGGATTTATCTACCACTACGCGCAAAAAGTTATGCTCGGTTACCGTACTGTCTTAACAGTAATGAGGGACTATAGTGTTATCATTTGGTAAGTACTTTGATAGTAGTACGTTACTTTACTGTTCAAAACAAAAGAATGCACTCCACTAAGCTAAATTAGCAATTTCAAATACTTGATATTCCCCTAATCAAATCTCTGTTTTCTCAAGTGTTTTCCCTGCGTATCATCTTTAGAATATTTGTCTAAGTGTTTATTTAACGTTCAAACAAAATTCTTAGCTACACCTAATTTTGATCAATTTGATCCATCCAAATAACTAAGTATGTGGTTGTGACAAGTTATTTTGATATGCTAACAAGTTGCGCCGATTCATCACCTTCCAAAGCCCCATGCGTGTGAGGTTTTCATATTTTGTTCGTCTCTTCGGTTTTTTGGCGGTGCTAACAGCTTTTATCGTACTGTGGAAATTGGGGAATGTCTCATATTATTTGGGATCTAAAAAGTACTCTGAGTTATTAAACAAGCTGATTCTGTAAATTTTAAGGGGTTTCAACCACAGTCATGAATCTGATTACAACGGAAACGGCTTCAAAAATGAATATGACAGGTACTTTTAACTTTAATTGTCATCTATCACTTAGATTCACTCGTGAATTTGAAAGATTAAACTCAGACTACGTTCGTTCTATCCGGTGCATAGTAAATGAAAAATTAATAGTCGGGTGCTATTTGCTGAAATCACAAGAAGTACTCATACCATTTGAATTAGTCCGTAATTATTTTAAGGTTTGTCTTTTTTTGTACGATTTTAGTTTTTTTTACTTTTAAAGAGTGATGTCAGGAGTATGGGGATATCTTCTTCGTCCACAGTATGCTTATAATTGTTCATGAATAAAACTAACACGTTTTATCAACATCCCAAAGTGTGAGAAAGCCATTTTAATAATTCACCACTAGTAATGTAGTCGGATGATATAGATGAGGTAACTTTGGAAATCTCTTCTTGTGGATCTTCCGACTTCTTGCTGCTGATATTTGTTGCGTCTACTGCGAATTATTGATATTCAAGTCGTGCTTCGCTCCTATTTCTATCTATTTATATTGAAGTAAGAAGAATAAACGTGGATTGAATGTATTACACTTAATTATGACATGGATGTCTGGATGATAATTGCGAAAGCTGTAGCACTTATATACAGAAGTTATACCGTGTAAAAATTTAACGGTCTTGGTGCACGTTTACTAATCTTAAATGTGGGAAGTTATTTTTATTCTTTTTAACCTTGAACATGTATTAAGGATTATATTCAGGGCAATATGTGTATGATGTTAGTAAATGTTAAAGGAACTGTAACTGTAAAGCGTGTGAAGAAATATAACAATCTGAAAGTGTATACTCTTTCCATAAAATTTTGAGCATGTTTAGTGGCACTATCTGAAAAATTGGAATTCAATATTCCAGTACGCTTATTGAATTTCATGTTAAGTGACTTTTTAAGGTTAAAATTCGGCTCTTAGTCCTCTTTACAGATAGTGTGCTGTGATCAGAGGAATAGCTCTTCTGAGGAAACGAGAATACTTTGTTAAGGTTGCCTTATGGGTTAAAGCCTGCCTAGAAATTAGGAACTAAACAAGTTTATTTTCATTCACAAATTCGTATAGTAGTGCACATCACATATGAACCAAGGCTGAAATTATTAGGATAGTCATAATTTATTAACGACTCAAAGGATTTCAGTGACATCAGGGTTCTCAAGTGCATACCGATTGAGCCAGATTTTCGTGAGGAAACGTTTTCAGTCTTAAGTAGACATGTATCCTGCATAAATTATATTTATATTTTTATAGAACTTGCTTCTGGATTATGTAAAATACTTTCTAATATTCTTCAGGTAACACTTTTTTATTCTATTGATTGTATGTCATTAATCATAAATACCACAAGTTTCACAAAATCTTTAAGAACCTATAGATATCTGAGTATTATAATCATGGGATATCTTGCTCTAGACACTTCAAGGGATAAAAACCCTTCACAACTTTAGGTGATTTCCACAGATTTGCCCTTCAGTTATCATGGAAACTAGCCTACGTTTTCTCCGAGATATTTTAATATCCTGCTCAGTTGATTATTGGTTGTACATTGTTTTACTCATTACGATTAAGTTGGTAGTTGTGAACAAATTTTCTTACAGATTTATTAACCTATCGCTATTAAATAGACTTCTGAAATGAATTATTTTAAAATTAATTGGTATGTTACACTAAGTACTACTCAAGTTCTTCAATCTTTCACAATTTATTGTTCAATAAGTTTTTCGTGCTGATCATATTTGATTACTAGATTCAAATTTTCGATAGATTCTTATTGGGTCTTTCTAAGATATTACACTGATGTTTCTTAATGATCCACTGTAGTGTTAAATTATCTCCAAAACACAAGCTGATAGAATTAAGTGCAAACGTTTAAATAACAACGTGATAAATATGAGGGTTCGGAGTCATACGACTACATATGTATGTAGTACTTTAAAATATGAAAAGATAATGAACAATTTAGCTAAAATGTGATTGTTTGACCACTAATAAATAGTAATTGATTTTTCGCATTACTAAAATAGATCGTTTTCATATTTAGGTTTATGGTTCCCTTGATTTATCGTCTAGCACATTTTATTGGAATCACGCCAATGTTGACATCCCAAAACCATATTTGCATAAACATAATCCTGTCGGTATATATATGCAGTTTCATAAATCCAATGTAGAAAAACGAGATAATGTGAAATTAATCGTTGCAGATGAAGGTATGCTATGGCTTTTAATTTTATGGAATGTAGATTTTCTTTTGGTGTGTTAACACCTAATGTTAATTATGACTGTTATCACCATTGATTCTGGCGCTTATATTAAACTATTTTGTTATTTAATGAGTTTGAGATAGGACAAAAATTAGGTTGATTTTTTTTTCAGTAATTTAACTGTTTTCAGTCTATGGCAAAGAAATGTCCTTTGAATTCTGCTATGTGAAAAATCAAGCAACAACTGTTGGATTTAATTTAAATACTGTATAGTTCTTGTATAATGAAGTCAGTCCATTTATGTGTATACACTAATGTTAACCGAGAATGTACTACCCCCTCCTTCCTTTCCTCCCTGCAAACGACTGACTAAGTAAAGGGTTTCTTATACAATTTCTAAACTGAATAATACAAATCCATGTTTCTAGGTTGGAAACCACGATGCAGTTTAGTGTTGAACAAGCTGGAATGTAAAATTTAGGAAGCTGAAAACGATAACTGGTCAAAAACATGCTAGAAGATACTAATTAATTGGTTTGTATCACTACACTCGATTAATGGACACATTATTTGAATATACATTTGTTGGGGATGTGCGATCACCAAACACAACTTATGATAAAGGAAGTCAGTATCGATGAAGATGGATTTCCACTGGATTAAATTATTCAATATGATTTCTTCTCATCGACTTTCAGTACATTTTTATTATGATTTGTATTTGGTGACAAATACTTGGTTCATAAATTCTAATGATTGTTATTGACACACAACCAATTAAGTTAGATGTATTTTCAATTATGATGGGGTCATCATCAACCACTAGTCTTCTTACTCAAGTTAGCGGGAAAGGGAAAAAGATGACTGAAGTAGTTTCATTCATTATATTGAAGTTGGAGTTGAGAAATACGAGCATAATTTATGGACATAAATTTTAAACTATTTCTGTACACTTGTATATTTTTATAACCTGCTCTTTGCTATGCGATTCGAAAATATCAACTCAACAGTGACTCGAGATTTAACGCAATTAATGCTTAATGCTATCCATCCAATAATTTTGACCCAGCCCCTAACTGTTAGGATTACTAAGTCTGGTCTGTGAATGTAAAGAATATATTTTGTCAAAAAAGCCACTCTTTATTCACAGATTGTTTTGCAGAGAATATTACATTTAAATAATTATAACATGTAAACCAATGTTACGTTGAACAAAGATCAAAACTGATTCAGTGCATAACAGAAATTGTCAGAATCAAATAGAACAAAATGCCGAAATAATTAGTTGTCGAATTTGTTAAAATTCAATCAAATGTCAAATTGGACGACTATCATGATGGTTTAATCAATAGTCTTACTCCTGATAGCGCTCTGTTACCTCCTCTCAAAAAGTTGTAAGATTCCACTCTTGAGTCAACCTGTAATAACCTTGGTCCTTATTTTCGTGACGATCTTAAATAGTTTTGTTCCGGTCTCACCAAATCAGATATTTCATCCACTTATTCAAAAAGTATAACAGAATAGTAGTGACTTCTGTCCAGTGTACTTCATATTTATCAGATAGCAAACTTCAAATGTTCATATTATCAGTAATATAATTATTCATCGTATTACAGTAAGCGAGTATATTTTGGTTCATTTGTGTTTGTATAACTAATGCATTGGACCATTTTTTTAATGACACTTTTTCTCTTCATGTAAAATATTTTAAGTATGGTAGCTGAGCTAAATACTCATAAATCCATTTCCATTTATCGAATGTAATTCATATATTGCGGTGAAAGTTTTCTATAGTGCATATATCTGGCAATTCATTTCGTTCATTATCTTGTTAAAAAGTTGAATCACAACTTATTTGTATATTTACATTCAAATACAAACAATCATACATACCAGGAGTACCAATCAGTCAACAATGGAGTTCTCGCGGTTATCCATATCCAATTCAAATAGCACAATTTGGCTTGAATCATTTCAGTCAATTAGTAATATCAGCTGGTCAAGCGAAATCTGAAAATGTACGAAATGTTTTGTCGTTGGACAATAAAAATATGGAGTTAGATCTTATTGTTCCCAGTAATAATGTAATTCATCGTTGGGCTGATAAAGAGTTTATACATAAATGGAATGACAGACTTATGTTATCAGGTATCGTTATCATTTAATTAAAATCATTAAATTTTGACTGTATGCACGTCAAAAAAATCCTTTTTTGTGGAATTGACATGTGGGACAAAAAAAATATCTAATAACGCTGTCTTAATTCCCTTGACATTTGAGTGATCTACAAAATTCTTGTTTTCAAATTGTTTATGACATTTAATATTGCTATTTTTCTGTTGAGAGGTTTTATTCTAACATATGTAAAACCTGTTCTCTTGACCAATGTTCTTGTCTTTAATGTCGATTTATTCGGAAGTTTGCGTCAATAATCCTGTTTCGCTAGCAGTCATCACTTGGTCACATATAATCTGATCAGCATACTACCGATTTATTTTAAAAATCCTGAGTTCGAATCCCGCGGGCGGGATCGTGGATGCGCACTTCTGAGAAGTCCCATACTAGGATAAAACGACCGTCCAGTGCTTCCAAGTTTTCCATGGTGTAACTTCAATTGACTCATGAGTTCAACTGTTAAATTCACAATGTGTTCAAGTCACAAAGTCCTAACCGATAACAAAAATAATCTGTTCGTGTGTAGTAGGAATCTAGTGTCGTAAGATATAAAAAAACGACGTTTTATCTTATTTAGTGATCATTTTCATCACAGTCAGTTTTATCAACTGGGAAACCCAAAATAACTGAACAGTTGTTATTATCTAATTTGTTTTATACCTGATTTCGTACGGGGTTGAATTTTCAATTGAATCTTTTATTCTAACAGCGAAAATAAGTAAAAAGATTTAATTTTGCTCTTTAATGTCTTACATTAATTCGGTGCCCAATTACTGTGAAACTTCGTTCAAATTTAGATGAACATTCTTACAAATTATCGTATAGTTTGTTTATTTATTTCCTATTCATTCTTCACTTGTTATCACCCTCCGATTTCATCCATTCAAATACAGTATAAACATATCTATAAAAGAGTCTGGTTTCAAATAAAGTCATGATAGCAATTAAATGACTGATTATAATAGTTATAATAACAAAGATTATGTGTATATACAATATTCATACACGATTTCTTATTATTTCTGAAAACATGAAATATAGTCAAAACTTCACTGAATTCAACTTGTCTGTGATGCTGACAGGTTTCATACGGAGCGAGGTGACTACATTTAGAAATAAATATATTCACATTATCATAATTTTTAGTCCCTTTTTTACTCTGTGTGAGATATAGCTTATAAGTTCATGCATGAATTCAGTCGTTACAATATAGTTGCATTTGTTCAATTTATTCCGTATAGTTGATAAACTGAACTCCTATGGTCAAGTATTGTCAATAATCCCAAAGCTTCAAGAATGGGATTATCTCATTATGAGTGGTCGTCAGTGGACATATGGAAGCCATATTGAATTATCACTTTTATGGTATCCTCCAGGTGGAAGTTATAAGAATTACCCTACAAAAAGTTTAATTGTATACAATTGTTCATCGTCTCCAAGTAGACATGTCAGTTTGGTATTTATTTATATTGTAAATTAATAATACTGTTTCTACAAACAACGGTAATAATTGTAATTAATATGTCAGTGTTGAAAACAGGCTTAATATTTTTGTGACAAACAATTGCCATTTGTTTATAATGTGAAGTTTGCTCGATCTACTTATTGTTTAGGATCTGATTGATAACATGAAGTGAACTATTTTGTAACTAAATAATAACAGAAATCACAAAATAAACCGTAACAAAAAATATCGTACATTTATGGTCAGTTATTCATAATCACTGTGGAGCTGAGCACAGAAATGAGTTAACCTAATTCGCCATGTCACGTCAACCCAAAGAGATAAAGTTAAGTGGCTAAGCAGCAGATAGATCAAGACCATCGTAGCGTCTATGATAACACAAAAGGCTAAAGATATAGAATATGGTTTGACAAGATGGAATGTAAAGGTACATATGAAGGAATATTGGTACTCGATATCTAAATGAAGATAAAGGGCAAATATATCTGTGCCGACACCGATTTTGATCTATTTCATCCAATGTTTCCAACTGATGACCAAAATTAGTCAAAAACGATTCTCCAAACTTAAGCGTTTTAAGTTTCTGGACGGCATACTTACTGTGGAATCAATCCACATGGCTCGCATCCTGAATAGCTTATTCTCTAAAACACCGAAAAAGTGTATAAATATTCACACACTACTCTGTGTATCATCAATTTTATTGAAGTACAAATGTTTTCTTTTTTCTCAATAGTTTGAGGGTGGGTTCAACAGTTATTCAGGGCATAGTACAAGTTATATTGCAAAATATTGCTTTGCATTTACTCTTGTGTTTACTCTTTCGTTAAGATTCGATTCGCGTAGCTAGATGCGAGTCATAACAGTTAGTAACTGTTTTCCTGTTGACTCAAATATTAATTAAGTAACTACATAATAGGTAATTTATTTCACTGTGTATTAACTTTTTTGTCTTTCAGCAAACCTATGCCACTATCATTCATAATAATAAAGTCACATATTGGATGCCTGAATGTGAAAAACAAGCCAAGATATATGGATTTGTTGATAATATCAAGGTAGCACGTGATCTTTACACTGATTTAATGAAAGTATTCTACGCAAATCGAAAGTCATCGGAGTATACTGGTTTAAGTAGTATGAAATTATTGAATACTGTTAATGATACTAAAAATCCATCGTAAGTATTCCGACTTTTTGGTATAGGCGAAGATTCTATGGTTCATGTTGGAACTACTTGTAAAATTGTGATTGTTTATTTTGAAATAACTTGGATATCACGATATTTTGGTACCATGTTCAATGCTTTTAAGATTATATATCATGTCGACTCAGTTTACTTTTATTACTATATAACCTTACAATTCCTCCCCGCCAAATGGCTATTAACTGAATGGTTATAAATTTTAAGAATTCGCAGACAACACACCTCGTCATCTTTCGCTAATTACAGGTCGGAAATGTTAAATATTTGGAGGTAATCCACAAAAAACCCTGGACCCAGGTTTCTCACTAGTTGGTTTACTTACAATCCTAATGAAACTGACAAATCATCACCTAATATCATTGCATATTACAAGAAATATCGATGCACTCAGACTAATGACTACATTGTAACTTAATCAACAGAATTCTGTTGACATTTAAAGACTAAAAAAATATGACATTAGTTACTATTCTGTGACCCATCACTCATACAGATTTTGTGTATTTGTGTTTAAACACCACACCGTTCCTCTGAGCACTAATAGTTATACATGAGTGCTCGAAACTGAAAAAGGTGAAATAACGTTAAAATTTGATTTATTTCAGGGATCAAATAAATCCAAATTACCAGTCCTTGTGTTTTAATTACACGCCACGCCGTTAAGTATTATTATCGTTTCCTACATTGTAGGCGTAGATCACGGCTTTGCGTATAAACGTGCACATACTGAGTTGCATTATTGTTTATTTACCTCGTTCGAAATTTATCGAAACCCTCTATGTAAGCAACATATAAGCATTTAATTATTCAACTGATGTTGTAATACATTTCGAAGGCCGGTATTTCAAAAAGACGAATTGTAGTCCATCTACTAAATGAGAGTTTTTGTGTTCGGGTCTGGGGCTACGTTTTATGTGAAGGTTGATGATGCTAGCTTGCTGCTCAAACTGAGGTAGATTAGTGTTAGAGCTCGAACTAGGTACCTTGTAGTTGGAAGCATAACGTTTTGACTGTTAGACATATACGAACTTATTGTTCGGTCAATTTGAATCGTTTTACATCCAAGACATACTTTTTTATTTTCATAAAGGCTTCTTACAAACGGACCTTATATTTCCCTACACTGAGAGATTAGTTTGTACATCAGTTTTTGTCACTTGAAAATTGGCTTGGATTTTGACAATTTAAACAGATAGTGTATTCCTAGTTACTTACCACTTGATTCTTAATTATATTCTAGATGATTTCACTTGGTAACTAGTAAAACCATTGTTGCCAAGTCTTCCGCTATCCGACTCAGTTGCTCTTATAGTTTAGGCTTCTTCGAACATTTTACCTCACTCGACTAGTCCCCAAAATCAGAAGGCGACTTGGACAGGAACGTAATTATATTTCAAAACAAACTGAGTTGAATAACGATGAATTTTTAGTAAGAAAATCGTTAGAATACCTGTAATTTTACACAAGCTTCTGTAGTCTTTTTATCTGACAGCTCCGATTGGGTTGAATTAGTTCAGTCAACGTGCTCCGACACAATCTTCATGGATCATACTTTATTACAATGTCCTACTAGCAATTGCATAATAAATAAAAACAAATATCGTTGTAGAATAACATAAATTCATTTATTTCGTGGATTTCTTTCAGCTGCTTACAACCCATGGCCGTAGTATTATTCATGAAAACGAAACAAGGTTACATACTTTTTATCGGAAATGTCTCGAATAAATTGAGTTAATAGGTGAGAGATAGAATAATAATCAAAGATAACAATATGGAAGAATTGACATCGCTTAAACGTTCACTTATTTGCAGGTTGAATATATATGAATGCTCTAGAACAACATAGAAACAAATTTTTTTCAAAATTGAAGATAAATTGTGTAATACTCACTTAAAAATATAGATTAGTTGAATAAAGCTCCCGTGTAAGAATTAAGATATTTGAAATTTTAATTAAGTTTTTTGGAAAAGTGTCCTACGTAATAGTCTGACGAAAAAAAGTCATTAGGGCAAATCAAGATTGATAACAGTATCTTTTTGGATACGTCAATTCTGTTTATATTTTTCTATTGCAATAGCTTCGAGAAAAGGTAACAGTTTTGGATTCCTTGACTTATTGAACATCTTGAAGGATTTCCAGACATTAACATCATGTTCACTATCGAGTAAATTACGAGTGATTTCACTGTTGAGAACGTGTCCATTTAGTCCAGACTTTGTGGAATATCTTCAGAGATGAGGACACTAACCACTCTTTCTGTTCTCTCTGTGTATGTGCTTTGGAACGTACATATAAACTGGTAAACACAACTGAAGGTAATATAAGGTGGAAATTTGTCTGTATTTGATTGCCGTAACGAAAATTTAGTTTGATATAATGACGCCGACTTAACCACTGGATACATCCTTTTTAGTATTGCTTTTAGCCTAAATTCAATCCCAACTATGTCATCCGTTTTGAAGCTAAGTTTTAGAAAGACTGGCATTTTTTTCAACCGTGGAATATCTTATTTCCTTTTTTTCTAGTCGTTCCATATTTATTTGTAAACTTGCAGATAACCATTATCACGTAAGCGATGTTCAACTAATGGCTGATACCTTCTCGATTCTATATTCAGGAAATCATCTGCGAACACGATTAAATAACCCTCTGAATAAGGACGTTTGTAGCCTATTGCACAAAAGCTATGGACGTTCAAATAAAGCTCACTCAATATGTCGTTTCGATAAAGATGTCTTAACAATCGGCTGTTTGAATTACGATAAATACCAAAGTCTAGAAAATGAAACATGTCGTGTTCATATACCAATGCAAATCTAGTTTGCACTTTTCTGAGGAGTCTCATCCTTGGATAAAACAGCTATCTAATGCTTCCTAGCCTTCAATAATTGTTGAAGGTCATTTCGTGACGTAACTTGTAATATTGAATTTAAGCTTTAATTACAGCATTATATGACAGAATTTATCTATAAATATGCTTATTTCAATCGTTTTTTTGTCATTTGATCTATTTTCTATTTTCAGTCATGTACAAGTATTAAATATAAACTTCTATATTAATGCCCAATATAACACTAATGATGTCATCATAGAAAAATTATACCTTGGTAAATTAACCAATTTACAATTAACATTTCCAACTGTAAATAGAATAAACTTGGCAGAGAAATTATTTCATGAAATACGTTTTATATCTGCTGCTGATTGGTTTATTAAGCATCAAGATAAAAAGACTGGTGGTTGGTCTGTTAATGTTCAACGTTCATTCAATGGTAGAAAAGCTCTAAAACCTGGATGGTATTCTGCTATGGGTCAAGGTAATTCTAAATTGTTAATTTTTTTTTCAATATTTTAACCAGTAGTGTAACATCTTCAATTACTTTCTGTTGTATGGTCCTAAAGAAATTATACTACCGTAAAATGATTGTCTCTAGTGTATTTAAACGCATTTTGTTATTACAACTTCAAGGATAATTATTTAATGAATGGAGCTGTAATATTAATTGTAATACTAAATCTATTGTGTTGTGCTTTTGTCAACGCATAATAGATATCTTCTTGAGAAAGTGAATTATGTAAGAAGCCTACATGTAATTCATTGCTAGGGCTAATTTATTATTAATGTTCACCTGTAGAATGTGATAAGTACATGGGTTTAGAAGAAAGCTTTTAAATAAAGACAGTGAATTGTTGTCAGTAAAGCGGATATTCATTGGTTAACGCTTAAAACTTTCAATCACTGGAAGGGATGATGACACAAAATATATTTGACAAAGCTGCTAAAATTGTTTAGTACGCGTTTTGTACATATTCAAATGATACTTCTCGTTTGATTCATTTCGAGGAGGGGAACTAAGACTGACTAAATACATTATTCACTTAATCTTAATCTTTCTTCAACATGGCTAACGAAGTGCGTCTGTTTTAATGCATTAGTTTGCTCTGTGCTCATTTACAGTTATGTAACATGGCAACGTTTACTGGGATCAGAAACGTTTTTAGGGTTCGATGGATACTGTGAGTCAATAATATCAGGCTTACTTCCAGAGTTTTAAATGGGTAGAGTAGGTCAATCAATGATGTCAATATTCACTAGCCGAGACATATTTTGTACAGTTTAAGCCTCCTTTAAATCTTCGTGTATGACAATTGGTTCTGTATTGGTTTAGCAAACAGAGTTAATTTTTGAATCAAATAGAATAACACTGTATAAAGTTACTATTGTCATGAATTTTGTTAGGAGATATAGATTTCGCTATTCAAGTTCCCGACTTTCTGGAAAACATTAATCACAGACAATAAATTACACAATTTAGGAACAATCGCATGGAATTTGCTGCATTTATTTTGTATCGTTTAAATCACTAAACCTAAACTTCATTTGGTCATTTACAATCCTGTTAGTTTTCCCTCTCCCAGCCGACTAATAAACTTAATTAATTATAACTTTATTTCAGGTCAAGCGATTTCGCTTCTAGTTAGAACTTATAATTACACTGGGAACCCATTATATTTGGAAGCTTGTCATCGTGCTTTAGATTTGTTTAGTGTAAATATAAATCATGGAGGTATTCGTTCGTATTTCCTCAATCAATCCGATTTAGTATGGTTCGAAGAGTACCCGTTTGATCCTCCAATTCATATATTAAATGGGTTTATTTATTCACTCATAGGTTTATATGATTATACCAAAGTAAGTTTAACGCTTTTAAAATTTCTATTTCATTAGAACCACATAATGAAGCATTTAATTATTTGTCTGATGGTTAGACAATAACATCAGTCCATGAAGTGTGGCAGTAGTCCAGTGCCTAAAGTATTGGGAATTCAATCAGTAGGTTAGATGTTTAAACTTTATTGCCGTCCACCAGTGGAGTTCAGCCAGGTCTGTTGTGAGATAGCAAATCACTGAAGGCAATGGTGGACGGTGGCGCAATTTAATGGATTGGTTGAAGCTGGACATTAAAACCGTTGGATGCCAGCTAAGTGGTCTAGAGGTTAGGTGTTCGCGCGCAAGGCCGACAGGTCCTGGGTTCGAGTCCCGCGAGCGAGATCGTGGGTGGCCACTGCCGAGGAGTCCTATACTAGGATGAAATGGCCATCCAGTGCTTCCAGGTTTTCCATGGTGGTTTAGCCTTAATTGACTCATGAATTCAACCATTAAATTACTGTAATTTGCACAAAACTCCCTTCTGATAATTTTGTATCAACCAATAAATTGGTTTTACCCACCTGAGTGCTTGTTCACTACAGTATCACTAACTTCCATCAAATCTTTATGGTCCAAAACGAGTTCATAATCTTGTAAGTGGTAAACTCTTGTTTAATGAAGTTATTGACTGTTGAGAATTGAATACTTCATGGTTATAAATAAGAATAATATGTCTTATTGTTCCGTTGTACTATCTAAACGTGGATTAATTTTAAATTGGTTATTTATTCTCTGAAGAAGTGACTTACACTAAGTCACGAAACGTCAGAAAATCTGATTTTTCTACTCATCGGGATATTACAAATATATTATTTATTTATAACAATCTACCCAATGCTCAACTTATTCGAAATTATCAACTCAAACCTTGGTAGTGATACCTACTTCATGGTTATGTTTTGTTGAGAAAGTACAACCGATTGTTGAAGACTTTATGTAACATAACTTTAAATCGAAAACAATGGCGCAAATGGATTCATTTTTAGTCTAAAACTACGCCTTCAAACCAGTGTTATTCTCATAATGTTCAGTCTCTGACTTGATTTCATTTTTTGAAACTTTTTTATGCAGCAGTTGGGATGACTCTCCCACATTGTATGAGGATTTCATGTACCTAAATTAATTGTTGCTCTGGTTGTGAGAAGGGGCATCAGCCTCGTGACTTTTGAAGGAACTCGCTTTTCACCATGAGGCGTCATAACTCTTCTAAATGGAAGACCTAACTCCCACGGCAGAGTTTAAGTGGTTTGAATTATTTTTTCTGGTTAGCGTTAGTTAGTTTTCTACGGTATGGGGTCGCTAACCCCATTTCCAACCCTTCTTCATTCGGGCTTGGATCCGGCAGTAGCCCCAGGGGGGCTCGAGTCGGAGTTGGAACCGTTTTATGTTTACTTTATATCTTATGCATTATAATTCCACTATTTTGTGAGACGTGTAGAATGATTATTAGTTTACTGTCTAAATATTTGATAAGCGATTCTGTCATTTAAACGCAAAACTAATCATACTTAGTTTATTCGAATTTTTATATATTCACGAGACTGAGTTAGAAAGAAGGATGTTCAGTAGTACAGTGCACCTTTGACTAATATGTTTTTATCACCTCTTTTCAAAATGAACCATTTATTGGTGAGCACTAATTACACTCATTGAGTATTTTTTTTATCATTACGCATTCAATATAATATATGCACCTTACAATTAGAATTAAATAACTTGAGAACAATTAAGTAATTCCTCGTCTTCTGTATTTCATCCAATCAAATGCCTAATTGCTTAATGTTCAAGACATAATTTTTAATGCAACTATAACATGATAACGAATGCCATTTGATTTTAAGATATTATACAGCTATGGAAAAAATACTTGACTCATTGGGATTTTACAAGTACATGATTTCTGTCAAAAAGCTCTACTGTTCTAAAAATCTGTAATCTGTTTCTCTTATTCAAATGATTTCTTTTTTATTTTTATTTGATTTTTTACCGACTGGATTCCATGTGTAACGATGATTCTCATATCATAATTTCGCATAAGCTTAGTTATTATAGGAGTTATTGGTTTACACAACCTGTTTTCTCTCTTATTGTAGTTATTGGTGAACTCTCCAGATCCTTTGACTTTATCCTATCTTTCGAAAGCTCAAAATTATTTAGATATAGGATTGACAAGTTTGTCCAAATTGCTCCCGCTATTCGATTCTGGTAGTGGGAGTTTCTATGATCTTCGGCATCTTTCAACGGCATATAATAATAAACCGGTAAAACAAGGTCGATCTAAATTTTCTAAAAGTTCTTTTCAATTATCCACTGGACCCAATCGAGCTCGTTGGAGTTATCATTCTGTGCACATTAAACAACTTCAAACTTTGGCTGATTTAGATCCAAAACATGCTATTCAATGGAATACTACAGCTAATCGATGGATTGCTTATCTTCAAGGTTTCAGATCTCTTCAAAATTAATATGCTTACTTTTACAATCGAATTACGTTCAACATCTTTGTGTTTTAAGACGGATTCCAATCATTTACACTACTGTTACATATATACATATACCAGCCAGTAATTTGCATTTATTTTGATATTAGTCGTTATACATTATATGTATACAATATCTAAGTGATTATTGGGAATTACATTTAATTTCGTTTTCTTATTTAGTATTCACTTAAAACAGTGCTTAAACTTTTAAGATTAAGATAAGAGACACACCCAGTTATCTACTGGATAATTTATAAAACATTCTTATTGATGGGTCACTTCAATTTTGGTTTACTGTTTTATATTTTATGACTAAATAAACTTCCATAGTTTCTTTTGGTGTTTTCTACTTATGGCTAATAATAATATTGCATCAACTTGTTCCCACACGGCTTTTGTAGATATGAACGTCCTTTTTTAACAGTGATTCCTCGATCAAAGATTTTTCAGTTGAGAAACATTCAACTTTACGAGAGATATATTTTTACAAGTAACTCCTATTGCTGTAAACATTGGTTCACTGGTTATACACGTGTTCAGATATTATCGCTATTGTATATAGACTGGGAATTCCAATGTCTTGTTGAACATAAGTGTTTTTTCGCCAAACAATAGTGAACTGAGTTGTAACCCTAATTTGTAGTAATGTTTAACGGATTTACATTTTGTTGTAAAAATGATGCGTAGTAAACCATTCAGTTAATATTAACTGTTTCGTTTCCTCGCATTTGCAGCAATACTGAAAGGTAGACCGGTTTTTCTAACAGGTGCTGATAACAGTTAGATTCTTCAAGCCACCCTTGGTTTCGAAATATGGGTGTGTGGCACAATCCTTTTCTAACCAACAGTATGTTTACGACACTCCGTTTTAGAATCCAGTTACTTATCTTTCAGCTTATGTGACAAGCTGATAGGGCATCCCGAAAATACTGAAAGAACACAGTCTTAATGTCCATCTAAAGTTCAACTTGTTCGGATATCTCAATGGAGTTTGATAGATAATCCGTCATACATATAGCGCTTAATACTAATTTGTTAACCGCATACACTGTCAGTGCATAAAATTAACCAAACGTATACACTTCACATATTTCATGCGTGCCTTCACTTGTAAGTTAGATACATCTCATCAATTCAAAGGAAGATAACAAGCCATCATTTGAATAGTATTCTATTTTGAATTACTTCCGAGGTTTTTAATTCCTCAGCATCCATAGGATTTTTCTAATCGAAACGTACTTTGTATTTTCAAAAAGTTTTATTTTTAAACTGCATAATGCGAATGAGGTTGCAGGGATAAAACACATTTCTGTATAGATTAGTAAAATACTACCATTCATTTTTTTAATAACGTTCAATATCTTTCTTACTAATGAGATTGTATTTAGCTTTCACCGGTACACACAGTTATCTTGTGGTTCCTAATACAATTGGTGTATTTTTGCCAGTTAGTTTTGTCCTCTCTTACTGTTCATTTCAACGGAGCTTTCTTTTGTAAAATCATATTTTCCGTGTGACAATAACTTTTATTCAGATGTTGGATAAGCAGTGTCTTGTTATAGCGTAGATGTTAATAACCATTACGTGCAAGAGAATACAACAGGATTGGATCAATTATGAACTTGAATATAATGAATACACTGTTTTACAGCAATACGAAAAAATCTGGACAGTTGCATGGGATAGTAGTAGGATCTCAGGATTTTTGTGGGGTTCACTGTTTTATCACGCTTAACTGTGGGTAACGATTCCTGAAAATTAAAGTATCTGGTTCTGTATAAAAGTCAATTCGTGTTACGTTTGCGAATCATGTGTGGTAAACTAGTTTGGTGTAATTTTTCGGTTAAGTAACAGTAAAATCACAAGCAGACGTCATAGCATTTGCAAGGTACTAGTCTGTCATATGTCAGCACTTACAATACTTCCTAATTAAGAGGGAGTAAGCCGACCCTTTATCGTTCCTTTTATGATTTCGAATCCTGACCAAAAGCTAATCATTCATCATACTTCCAGTTTATGTAATTACATACGGTTCTAGTGTTTAGAATGAACCTATTATAGCTATTGAGTGGTTAATTTGAAGGCTGGGACATTACTGTAAAGCTTTGATTTATGACAATAGTATTTATTGTTTAAAATGAAGATTAGATAGTTTCGTTAATTTGAAGTTACCGATTTTCTGTGGAGTCCACATAGCAAATAATCTAAAATATGGTCTAAATTCCGTTATTATTATGAGTTTAAGTACTTGAATCGAGAGAGCGGTGATTCGGTATTTAAGGTATTCGATTTTCAGTCACTACTTCTCAGGTTTGAACCTCATTCCACCGGGTAATAACCCATGCTTACATTTAATGTGGCTCAAGACCAAGTACGCAAATCTACTACTAGTAGAAGAGTTGAGTTATATCTTGTAACCTGTGTGCCCTGTCAATGTATAACGTAATGATACCACCAATTGGAGAGCAGTGACTTATCGATCGGGCTAATGACGCATAAAACACGTACGAGCAGTCTAGAGTCCTTATTGGTCCTGCTTCCTACCTAGCCCAGCCAGTTAAGTCCAGAACGTTAATCTCAGCCTCTGCGATATGAATCGTTTATTTCAAACATACTGGGTTTATATACTAATCAAACAGCCACATCGTACCATAAAATAGAAAATAATATTTGTACAAGATTTAGCCAAAAGTGGGTGTGAATGTGCGAGGTAGTGATTAATAGACAGGGCATAATTCAAGAATGGTAGATCGCATAATAATAGTTCATAGGTCAAAATCAAGCTCATGATAAGAGGGACATGAATATGAACAATTTAGTTGTTTAACAATTATGTGATAAAAATATACGCATAGTATTGGTCCATAAATGGATCCCGAAAGTTACCATTCATTATGCTTATCGGGACATAACAAGTTGTTTTGTCAACTGAAAAAAGAATGACAATTACTGGCAGGAATAGATTGACTAAAAAAGGTGTTTACAACGTCTAAAGTTTAACTATGTAGCTTGATATGATTCCCTTTAAGGTACGTCATATACACCTACTCTCTTTGTCAATTTAAGCATAAAATAAACTGACTTTGTGAATAGTTTGCAGTTAGTAAATATGGATATAAACATTCACAGTCGTTTGATTATCGCATTCATCTTTTGACAAGTTGTTTGTAATTAAACATGTAAATATACTTCTGATTAGTCGGGTTACGTTTCAATCATTCTGACGATTATTAAGCCTAATATATTTTTGTTGGCTTCGAAATTCTTTGATATTATGATAAGAAAAACGAAAGCCTGCAGCGACTTTTATGCGAAAATTGTCTATTTTTTCTTAGCGTGTGAAATTTATGGAAACCTTCGAGTCGGAAGATGTATGCCACCGTGAAGATCAGCGTCTCATGAGTTATCTTGAGAAACTAAGGCTTATTTCAGCTGATCAGAATGCAGTTAATACGGTAGGACAATGCATTAATAAAATTCCGAGAAGTTACAATTCTCAAATAGTTTGCATGACAAGTAAATTTACTGAGATGGGGTCTTCGATATTAATGTCTCAACTCGCCTGTATGATTCCAGATCGTTATACCTCTGTAAGGTTGATATGACTAGATGAAAGGGCAAAACTACATTTTTAACTCATTGTGATTCTTGTCCAACACTACCCACGTTTTTAATTTAATACGATGATCATTTGGTATAATATTTATGTTATTTTCAGTGTGAAGATATGGTCTTCTTGTATTAGATTAACGTGAACTATGTTCAGCATGAAATGCAGCGTACAATTTTGTGATAATTTTATATATGACGTTTTACTAATTCATAATCAAATGGATGAACAGTCAATACATAAATGAGTGTATTTTCGACTAGGGTCATCGTCGTCGTTTTAGGGTTAATAAATCTTCATTTGTGCTAATCTGGGTGATTTTAGTTCGCGTCATGAAAATTGCAATGGTTCATCGTTTTTCAATTATAAATACTAAACGACGCGGACTTAACGAATGTCGGTTATAAATTTATCTGCGAGGAATTTAGTGTGCTAAACAATGTCCAGTATAGTTCTTTGTTCCTTGTTGCACATGCTGTTTAATGACAGCCGGTACACTTAAAGCAATTATGTTTGGAACGTATTCAAAATGGCCTTTCTGTAAAATCCGATCTTAGATAAATGAAACCTACTAATAAACTTGGGGCTCCTGTCTGCCGAATTTTCTTTCTGTACTTTCTCTTATGAACTATATTTTCGTCAGTTTCGATTGTCCTGGTTATGCTTCGAAAAGATAGGTCTAGATTTCATAGCATTTGGAACAAATTTATCGACAGCATTGGTATCACTATACCTCTGTGATTTTCGTTAGATCATTCATTGCAGTTACTTGGGTAACTGGTGTTTCTAAAATCCACTGAACAATTATCATCGTGATTTGCTTCAATAAGAATTCTCACGCTCAAAAGATCCGTCCAGTTTGATTAATTTCTTTGTCCAACAAGTCTTCTAGCACAAAAATCCTTCATTTCGTCACTATATACCATATCTCCATTCCATTTAGCGTCAACAATCACACGTCATATAGACTGGATTGAAGGCGTCTCTAAGTGACCTTGATCAATTTTAGCCAATCAGATCAGTTGATATAGATTAAGGGTATATTACACACGACCAAAACGTTAGAGTGGATACATTTCTTTAACATGGTTTAAAAAATTTCCAAGGTTAAAAAGAGGTGTTACAGTACTGAAATCGTAATGCATATAACACAAGAACTCATCCATTTGACTCCATAATAGTCGACCTTTGGAGACGTGGTAAGGTCGCAAGAATTACTTTAGCATCGGCCGCATTACTTCTGTATTATTGGCGTGTACTCCCGTGGTGTGGCCTGCGAAATATCGCTCGTGAACGACGGTACAATACACGTAACCAAGTCTAAATAGGCATCGATATGCTTTCCAGTCATCCGTGTATACCGTGGTGTCCGTCTGCTCATGCTCTCCTATGATTGGTATTGTAGTGACTCACGTTTATCACGAGAACACGACTGGTTTAATAAAAACAATTATTATTATGACCAACTATACCAGTGTTTGTTTTAACGTGCTTTTGTTTGACCGTGCTAATGACAGCTATTTTGTGCTTACATTATTGTACTTACACTTCGATTGTAACTTCGCGCGGATTCGGTTACGTTCTG